AGGCAGCAGACTTTGTGAAAATTAGTATTTGTGTCATTCTCAACTTTTGACCATGATTGTAGACATCAGGAGCCTCTGATACCAACACCTTTCCCTTCTTCCTCAGAAGGCTTAGTGTAGGGACTGAGAGTGGCAAAAAGAGCTGGTTGTCACATCGGAATGGATTTGGTCAAATTCTCCCTTGCTTATTGCTGTAGTTGGGTGGGTGATAACCACTGGGCCATTTATGGACTTGATCTGGACAACAAATATGCTTGCCTTTTAGATTTCAGTTATAAATATCAACAAATATAACATAATTAAATTACCACAGACCCCTATGCTACTGATAAATGTGATATTTTTCAGTGCCTGAAAAGGAATAAGACATCGAAGCACCACAATACGATAAAGCAACATTTATTTTTGTTTTTTGGCCTCCCCAAACCCGTAGACAAAGCAACCGTTGAACACAGTTTCAGACATTCAGCATATTTCAAGCTACAATAAATACATAATCTGATTTAGACTATAGGTATTACTGGGATATTTGTTTAGCTCTAGCTGACCTGACAGCTCACTCAGCGACTACATGTCACACAGCACTTTATACTGAACCTGGCTCTCCAGGAGCCTATTGGGTCATAGACAAGTAGAAAAAACAAAAGAGAGAGAGAGTAACAAAAGAGAAGAGAGAGAGAGAGAGAGAGAGAGAGCGAGAGAGAGAGAGAGAGCGAGGGAGCAGGCAGGTAAGTGCTTTACTGAGAGGCGTGTTTATTCACTTCCTAGCAACAATGTTCCGTGCCCAGTAGACCCATTTCAATAGAAGTCAGCACAATAGAAAAATTGAACATTTCTTGCTCTTTGGTTGTTCCTCTACCGCAACATGGACTAACTTTCATATAACCAGTATCCAGATATATTAGTAACAAAGAACCTTTCACATCGGTGGAACACACTTTTTCTGAAATGTAAATCCAGAGCACTAAAACATGTATTGTTATACATTCTACAATTCACAGGTCAGGGAAGCTCAAAGCTTTTTCTTTTAAATGCATTTTAGGAACAGATCCTATACTCCATCTCCACCATTATGTGGAGTACAGCATGTATTTTAATATGTTATACTTCTCGGTCCTGCTAGAAAAACCTGAATAGTGCAAAGAGAGAGTAAGTAAAAATGAGGACAGCAACTATTTCAATTCTTAGCTGTTGTGACCAGCATATCTGAGAGATGGTATCTACTGTGTTCAGGAAAACAACACAAACAAATGACACAATGTCAGTAAGACCAATGCATTTTGTATTGAGGTGATACGTAAGTAGGCCTAATATACATGCAGAAATATTGTTCATATTTGCATGCATACTACACTGTATAGGCCTGCATAAGAAGCCACAAGAGGGTACGTATTTCCAGTGGTAGGCCTATGTGTCACTGCACTATAGGATAAGATGAGGAAAGGAAACAGTTTCACTTTTAGTATTCTGTTCATGGCCGGTAAATAAACTGGTCACAATACCGTAATCCACAAAATCCTCCCTAAAACTTCACTCTAACCAAATACTTAAAAGTTGTGATCCAGCTACAGATACAGTACTAACACAGAACCATCCAAAACAAACTTCAATCACCTGGTGGTCCCCCAAAAACCAGCAGCTGGGTTTGATGGACCCAGTTAAATGTCAATTACAAAGTTGTTCCTTTAAAGGATTGGAATGCCACAGATAGATAATTCCCAGGCCTCTGCTCTGCTATGCTGCTTCCTTCCTCCATCCAATGACAGCTCCCTGAAATACTTTGCCAAAATCAAAAAGGCACAGAGCGGCCCGCTGCCCCATCACTCACTCCTCGTAACTACTTTCATACCCTTATCAAGACACATTTGTTATTGCCTGACAAGGATGAGAATACGTATGGAAAACACAACAGTGAAATACACCAAGGCAGGCATCCACACAGTCAGACGAGGCTGCAGGGCCCACATGCCCAGTGAGGCCTGTCAGAAAGTAACAGCACTGACTGTGCTACCCAGTGGTGTAAAGTACTTAAGTAAAAATACTTGAAAGTACTACATAAGTAGTTTTTTAGGGTATCTGTACTTTACTATTTTTGACAACTTTTACTTTTACTTCACTACATTCCTAAAGAAAGTTATGTACTTTTTACTCCATACATTTTCCCTCACACCCAAAAGTACTCGTTACATTTTGAATGCTTAGCAGGACAAGAAAATGGTCTAATTCACACACTTATCAAGAGAATATCTCTGGTCATCTCTACTGCCTCTGATGTGGCAGACTCACTAAACACATGCTTCGTTTGTAAATTATGTTTGAGTGTTGGAGCGTGCCCCTGGCTCTCCGTAAATTTAAAAAACAAGAACATTTGAAATGATTTATACTTTTACAATTTTTGCAATTACATTTGCTTTTGATACTTAAGTATATTTAAAACCAAATACTTTAACACTTTTACTCAAGCAGTATTTTACTGGGTGACTTTCACTTTTACTTGAGTCATTTTCTATTAAGGTATCTTTACTTTTACTCAAGTATGACAATTGGTTACTTTTTTGCCACCTACCTGCCTACCTACTGTGTGGAGAAAATGTTCAGAGTTTCTTCCCTCTGAGGGAACAGCTTTGTCCTAATGAGCAGCACACAAATTACAAATTTGGAACCCAGGTTTGTTCGCCAAAGCATGGTTATTCAAGTATTTTCCTTTTCCTCATTAAGGACTCCCAGGGGCTTTTTAGGCCCATTGTTGTAGTTCCAATGTGGAGCTGCTGGACACACATCACGACTCAGACAAGCTGTGCTTAGCTTTTCAATGGCATCGGCCAGAGCCTTACATTTATATCCAAATATAATGAGTTGTACCCCCCCCCCCCTTTTCCCTCAGAACAGCCTCAATTAGTCAGGGCATGGACTCTACAAGGTGTCGAAAACGTTCCACAGGGATGCTGGCCCATGTTGACTCCAATGTTTCCCATAGTTGTGTCAAGTTGACTGGATGGCCTTTGGGTGGTGGACCATTCTTGATACACACGGGAAACTGTTGAGCGTGAAAAACATACCCCGTTCAAAGGCACATACATTTTTTTTCTTGCCCATTCACCCTCTGAATGGCACACATACACAATCCATGTCTCACTTGTCTCAAGGCTTAAAATTCCTTCTTTAACCTGTCTCCCCTTCATCTACACTGATTTAATTGGCAAGTGACATCAATAAGGAATCATAGCTTTCACCTGGATTCACCTGGTCAGTCTATGTCATGGAAAGAGCAGGTGTTCTTAATGTTTTGTAAACTCAGTGTATATAAGGCTTTTCTATTCTAATATAAGGCTTTTCTATTCTAATACACTGCTCAAAAAAATTAACGGAACACTTAAACAACACAATGTAACTCCAAGTCAATCACACTTCTGTGAAATCAAACTGTCCACTTAGGAAGCAACACTGATTGACAATACATTTCACATGCTGTTGTGCAAATCGAATAGACAACAGGTGGAAATTATAGGCAATTAGCAAGACACCCCCAATAAAGGACTGATTTTGCAGGTGGTGACCACAGACCACTTCTCAGTTCCTATGCTTCCTGGCTGATGTTTTGGTCACTTTTGAATGCTGGCGGTGCTTTCACTCTAGTGGTAGCATGAGACGGAGTCTACAACCCACATAAGTGGCTCAGGTAGTGCAGCTCATCCAGGATGGCACATCAATGCGAGCTGTGGCAAGAAGGTTTGCTGTGTCTGTCAGCGTAGTGTCCAGATCATGGAGGCGCTACCAGGAGACAGGCCAGTACATCAGGAGACGTGGAGGAGGCCGTAGGAGGGCAACAACCCAGCAGCAGGACTGCTACCTCCGCCTTTGTGCAAGGAGGAACAGGAGGAGCACTGCCAGAGCCCTGCAAAATGACCTCCAGCAGGCCACAAATGTGCATGTGTCTGCTCAAACGGTCAGAAACAGACTCCATGAGGGTGGTATGAGGGCCCGACGTCCACAGGTGGGGGTTGTGCTTACAGCCCAACACCGTGCAGGACGTTTGGCATTTGCCAGAGAACACCAAGATTGGCAAATTCGCCACTGGCGCCCTGTGCTCTTCACAGATGAAAGCAGGTTCACACTGAGCACATGTGACAGATGTGACAGAGTCTGGAGACGCCGTGGAGAATGTTCTGCTGCCTGCAACATCCTCCAGCATGACCGGTTTGGCGGTGGGTCAGTCATGGTGTGGGGTGGCATTTCTTTGGGGGGCCGCACAGCCCTCCATGTGCTCGCCAGAGGTAGCCTGACTGCCATTAGGTACCGAGATGAGATCCTCAGACCCCTTGTGAGACCATATGCTGGTGCGGTTGGCCCTGGGTTCCTCCTAATGCAAGACAATGCTAGACCTCATTTGGCTGGAGTGTGTCAGCAGTTCCTGCAAGAGGAAGGCATTGATGCTATGGACTTGCCCGCCCGTTCCCCAGACCTGAATCCAATTGAGCACATCTGGGACATCATGTCTCGCTCCATCCACCAACGCCACGTTGCACCACAGACTGTCCAGGAGTTGGCGGATGCTTTAGTCCAGGTCTGGGAGGAGATCCCTCAGGAGACCATCCACCACCTCATCAGGAGCATGCCCAGGCGTTGTAGGGAGGTCATACAGGCACGTGGAGGCCACACACACTACTGAGCCTCATTTTGACTTGTTTTAAGGACATTACATCAAAGTTGGATCAGCCTGTAGTGTGGTTTTCCACTTTAATTTTGAGGGTGACTCCAAATCCAGACCTCCATGGGTTGATACATTTGATTTCCATTGATAATTTTTGTGTGATTTTGTTGTCAGCACATTCAACTATGTAAAGAAAAAAGTATTTAATAAGATTATTTCATTCATTCAGATCTAGGATGTGTTATTTTAGTATTCCCTTTATTTTTTTGAGCAGTGTATAAGGCTTTGGCGTGGGCCATTCCCATTGTGTAGTGGAGAACTTTGAGAAGAGCAGTGTACAATAGGGAGTTTAAGCAGAGAAGTGGCTTACCGGTCCAAAGCTGTTGCTGTCCAGACCGTGGCCTTGATGGTCCCCCTCGATCCAAAAGTGGCAGTCAGGGACTCTCAGATAGCGGTTCTTATAACCAAGCGTCCTGGAGAGAGAGAGAGGGAGGGCAGAGGTTTGGATCATGGATAAACACATTAGCCAGTTATACAACCCACATTTACTTCAGAACCTAGCTATAAAAGAAAGGCGGTCGTTAACATTTATTGAGCTACGGGCTCAATTGAAAACAACAATAAAAACATTGAAATCAGACAAAACTTTGAGAATGGAGAATAAAGTTAGTCTATCTATTTTATCACCTTTCTACTAAATCATCCATGTGCCAGTCATCCTCTCATATGCTCCCTTTAGATTAGATAACAATCTAATCAGATGACATTTAAGGACAAACCGAATGAAGACAAACATGCTTTGTGTGTAATGACTAATGAGATATGGACAGGATAGCTCACTCCCTTAGGTCTAGTGTCTGATTGTGTCCCAAATGGCACACTACTCCCTCTATAGAGCCCAATGGGCCCTGGTCAAAAGTAGTACACTATATTAGATTATTTTTATTTATTTAAAGAGAATAGGGTGCTATTTGGGACATAACCTCTGTCTGATCAGTTCCCCTCCACACTAGTTAGCTTCAACTATTTTGCCTCTCATCGCCTTTGTGAGGAGTGAGGACAGGTTGGTACACACCATCAATCACCTGGGTACTTAGCCGTGACTGATGTATGGTTCATCACAGGAACATTGTAAATTATGGGAGACATTACTTTTTAAATGACCATTTTTCTCCTATTCCTTTCTAGGTCAATGTTACAGGAGTCTAACTGTCTACTCTTTAGACCAGGGGTGTCAAACTCATTTTGCCCCGGTGGTCGCATTTAGTCTTCAACAAACTGAAAAGTGGTTCTATTTCCTCGCCGTCAAAATGTGCACTAAATATTCCTCAATCCATAGTTTTTTGGAAATCAGATGCTCCCTGACTGTCTAGCTTTCATTTAGGTGGTTATTAGAGAGCTGGACACAGTCAAGAAAGGGTATGAATGTAGCTCCATTATCATTTCTACAGTTTCCATTTGGTTTTAGTCATTTGAAAGTATATTGAGTTTGTCCCCCCACCCCTCCCCAAAAATGTTATATAAATACATATATATAAATACATATATATATATATATATATATATATATATATATATATATATATATATATATACATTTTTTGTTTGTTTTATATATATTTATATTATGTTTGACACCACTGCTTTAGACCTTGGGACAGAAATATTGATTTGGCTGCTGGGAAAACTGAACTTAATGTCTGTTCTCCAGCAAACTGAGGTTCAGTGACTTTAAATGTCAGGGGTTAGGCCTACATACAGTATCTGAACACAACCAATACAATAACATAATACTGGCTACTTCAGAATCTAGTGATCATATGCTAGATTCTGAAATGCTCAGGAAAAAGAACAGTCAGAGTTTTGTGGGAAGACAAAAACTTTTAACTGAAACTGTTGTTACGTCCCAAATGGCACCCTATTCTCTACATAGTGCACTACTTCTGACCAGAGCTCTATGGGCCCTGGTCAAAAGTAGTGCACTAAATAGGGAAAAGGGTGCCATTTGGGACGTAACAACAGTTTCAGTTAAAAGTGAATATACAGACTCCTGTATTAATGCTATTAGCATGCGACTCGCTGCCTGGCAGTGTCTAGCAGCTACAAAGGGTCGGGGAGATTCAGGAGTTCAGGAGTTTGGGGGAGATTTTCAGACAGTCTCAGCATTGAGTTGTCTTAAATATTTATGCTCCCTAACTCTCCTATCAGTGGTGGGTTTAAACAGTAGCTGCCTGATACAGTGGCGGTTGGATGGAGGTTAATGGGGTAGGTATATAGGGCACAGATACACATGATAATGGACATATGAAACACAATAATGATGACGACGATGACGATGATGAGTAACAGCTTGAGGTGAATTGGACAGGTTAAGTCAAACTTAAGCTCGGTTCCAATATCCACACTAGAAGGAATACCACTGAGAATGAACCAAATGTGTTGGGCATGCATCCTAAGTGGTATGCTAGCATGGACATGGGAACACAGCCATAGTCTTGTTCACTAGCCGTGTGTCTCACAGCCTGCCTGGCACACCAGACTGGGTTGTTCTGTTCCCTCTTTGAACACCAGTATCTACATCTCGAGATATGTAGGATCTTAATTTGAACACCCTGTTGCAGGAGAACTTCTGAAGTTTGTAACTTCCTCTTTGAAATTTCAGACTTGATTTTCCCTTACGAAAAATGTATCAACCCCTACAAAAATGTCAATCATTTCCTGTTGCTGCAAAACACACACACCCACACACACGCACATACGCACACACGCACACACACACACACACACACACCACTCAGAGGGCTGTAATTGGCTGAGAGGCCTCTTCCTCTGTCAGGCAGAGAAGACAGTCTCTCTGTGCATGGCGAGATTAAAACCATAGCTGTGATTTATAGCATGGCTGGCCCCAAAGGCAACACACACACACAACGACCATCCCACCGCCCCCCCTCAGCCATCAAACCCCCATGTTAATTATTCCTCTATCTCCCCCCAGGCAATACAAGTGACCTGTAATTTGTTCAGCGGCGCACATCACAAATTGTTGCCAGAGTGAATTACATGGCGACGATGTGTTATGACTAGTGGCACCCGCCTCTGTCTAATTCTCCCAATGTCATTTCAATTAGAGCTCCACTGACTATCAACCGTTCGCTTCGGCTGGTGCCGAGATTAGAAAGCCTGGCTAGACTACACTCAGTGGTTCAGGGGAATGAATGTAATGAATGTCTTTGCAACTTTGCAAAATGAACTTCATTAGGTCACATACTGTATTGCCATTGCCAATGACAAAGTACTGTAACTAAGGCGTTGGTACATTTCTTCATATACTGGTAGGTCCACATTTCCATAATTCGTACAACTTTGGAGGACGTCATCAATTGGCTACGTTAACAACCAAGCCTGAGCCTTGTATTTGAATTCACTAAGCAGCTGTGACAGAAAATAGACGATCCGCCCTCTGATCAAGAAAGAGGTAATAGTCCTTGTTGGCCGATTCCCCCTGCTGCTCATAACCGTCGCAATGGTAATAATTTCCTGTGTATGTGCGTGTGTGTATGTGTGTGTGTGGTTGTGTGATTGTGTGTGTGTGTCTTTTCAGTGTGGCCATCACTGAGTGTGACTCCCCTGTCACCTTGAAGGAGAACACTGGGAGGAGTTGTTATATGTAACGAGTAATTCAGCCACTACCACCTAAGACAACATGGACCTGTCCTGAGTCACAACTCATATAGCCACTACTACCTATGTAAGACAACATGGACCTGTCCTGAGTCACAACTCATATAGCCACTACTACCTATGTAAGACAACATGGACCTGTCCTGAGTCACAACTCATATAGCCACTACTACCTATGTAAGACAACATGGACCTGTCCTGAGTCACAACTCATATAGCCACTACTACCTATGTAAGACAACATGGACCTGTCCTGAGTCACAACTCATATAGCCACTACTACCTATGTAAGACAACATGGACCTGTCCTGAGTCACAACTCATATAGCCACTACTACCTATGTAAGACAACATGGACCTGTCCTGAGTCACAACTCATATAGCCACTACTACCTATGTAAGACAACATGGACCTGTCCTGAGTCACAACTCATATAGCCACTACTACCTATGTAAGACAACATGGACCTGTCCTGAGTCACAACTCATATAGCCACTACTACCTACCTAAGACAACATGGACCTGTCCTGTTGTCCATGTTGTCTTAGGTGGTAGTGGCTATATGAGCTGTGACTCATGACGGGTCCATTTTGTCTTACGTAGGTAGTAGTGTTTATATGAGCTGTGACTCATGACAGGTCCATGTTGTCTTAGGTGGTGGTGGTTATATGAGTTTGATTCCAGGCTGTATCACAACCGGACGTGATTGGGAGTCCCATAGGGCGGCGTACAATTGGCCCAGCGTCGTCCGGGTTTGGCCGGTGTAGGCCGTCATTGTAAATAAGAATTTGTTCTTAACTGACTTGCCTAGTTAAATAAAGGTAAAATAAATAAATATGAGTTGTGACTCAGAACAGGTCCATGTTGTCTTAGGTGGTGGTGGCTATATGAGCTGTGACTCATTTTACATTTTAGTCATTTAGCAGACGCTCATATAGCCACTACCACCTAAGACAACATGGACCTGTTCTGAGTCACAACTCATATAGCCACTAGTACCATCTAAGACAACATGGACCTGTCTTGAGTCACAGCTCATATAGCCACTACTACCTACCTAAGACAACATGGACCTGTCCTGAGTCACAACTCATATAGCCACTACCACCTAAGACAACATGGACCTGTCCTGAGTCACATAACCACTACTACATATGCTAACATAGACCTATCATGGGTGGACTCAAGCCAGGGGTTACATAGCTAAAGGAAAATAATATGCATTACTGCAGAGGTTACCATAGAGAAATGTGTGTTTGGGGTTTCTCATTGAAGATTTGAAGCTAGTAATATGAAATTAAATATGGATGTAGTTGAGTAGAGCTCCTTCTGTACAGTTTGTCCACATGCTCTCATTAGAATAGGCTTCAGACTGAATCAGTATTGCCAATAGGTTTATTGTTTTACTGCTGCTCTTTAGTTATTAGTCTTCTCATAGGAAGTCTTGTCATAGGAAGTCTTGTCATAGGAAGTCTTCTCATAGGAAGTCTTCACATAGGAATTCTTCTCATAGGAAGTCTTCATATAGGCCTTTAATCAGTGAGGGATTATATTGTTATTTTAGACATCCTTTGTGTTTTAAGTTTGATTTGATAAAGCTATGGGGAAAGAGCTCATTCTGTACGTACTTAATGAAGTCTCCCTCCCGGGCTATGACCCTCTTGATGATCTTCTGCTGGGGGTTCTTGGGAGACCTGGAACAATAACGATAAACTATATAAATAAATATATATGATAAAGATACAGCTATGAGGTCATAATAAAAATTTAACCATGAACACCAAATACACAAAGAAGTAAAATAAATACAAGTTTTATGTCTGTACTGTAAAGTGACCCTATTTACTCTTGTCAACTCTTCAATAAAAATAACATAAAAAAATACCCTATTCACAACACTAGACTGAACTAGAATCAGTGTACCTTCCCAGCAGCAGACAGAAACTGACTATACTGCAGTGAGTGTTGTGTGGGGTTTAGGTACCAGGATCTCACTCCTCCCCCTCACATCATTGTCTTTCCACTCTTTCCTCTCCATCTCTCAGCAGGTGGACCTCACAACACAGCGGGACACAAACATAGCAGAGACCGGCTCAATCGGTACCTCCAGTGATGCTATCTCTTTCATAGTTACCCAATGCTTAGGTGTACCTCCACTGTACTCATATCCTTCCATATCCTTGTCTGTACATAATGCCCTGAATCAATTCTACAATGCCCGGAAATCTGCCCCTCTTCTCTGTACCCAACGCACTAGAAGACCAGTCCTTAAAGCCTTTAGCCGTATCCTTATTCTATTCCTCCTCTGTTCCTCTGGTGATATAGAGGTTAACCCAGGCCCTGTAGCCCCCAGTATCACTCCTACCCCCCAGGCGCTATCATTTGTTGACGTCTGTAACCGTAAAAGCCTTGGTTTCTTGCATGTTAACATCAGAAGTCTCCTCCCCAAGTTTGAGTTATTCACTGCGTTAGCACACTCTGTCAACCCTGATGTTCTAGCAGTGTCTGAATCTTGGCTTAGGAAGGCCACCAAAAATTCAGAAATTTCCATTCCGAACTACAACATTTCCCGTCTAGATAGAACTGCCAAAGGGGGCGGAGTTGCAATCTACTGTAGAGATAGCCTGCAGAGCTCTATCATACTATCCAGGTCTGTGCCCAAACAGTTTGAGCTTCTACTTCTAAAAATCCACCTTTCCAGAAATAAGTCTCTCACTGTTGCCGCTTGCTACAGACCCCCCTCAGCCCCCAGTTGTGCCCTGGACACCATATGTGAATTGCTTGCCCCCCATCTATCCTCAGAGTTTGTACTGCTTGGTGACCTAAACTGGGATATGCTTAACACCCCGGCTGTCCTACAATCTAATCTAGATGCCCACAATCTCACACAAATCATCAAGGAACCTACCAGGTACAACCCTAAATCCGTAAACATGGGCACTCTCATAGATATCATCCTGACTAATTTACCCTCTAAATACACGTCCGCTGTCTTCAACCAGGATCTCAGCGATCACTGCCTCATTGCCTGCATCCGTAATAGGTCCGCGGTCAAACGACCACCCCTCATCACTGTCAAACGCTCCCTAAAACACTTCAGCGAGCAGGCCTTTCTAATTGACCTGGCCCAGGTATCCTGGATGGATATTGACCTCATTCCGTCAGTAGAGGATGCCTGGATGTTCTTCAACAGTGCTTTCCTCGTCATCTTAAATAAGCATGTCCCATTAAAATGCAGAACTAAGAACAGATATAGTCCCTGGTTCACCCCAGACTTGACTGCCCTTGACCAGCACAAAAACATCCTGTGGCGTACTGCATTAGCATCGAACAGCCCCCGCGATATGCAACTTTTCAGGGAAGTCAGGAACCAATATACACAAGCAGTTAGAAAAGCAAAGGCTAGCTTTTTCAAACATAAATTTGCATCCTGTAGCACTAACTCCAAAAAGTTTTGGGACACTGTAAAGTCCATGGAGAATAAGAGCACCTCCTCCCAGCTACCCACTGCACTGAGGCTAGGAAACACTGTCACCACTGATAAATCTACGATAATCGAGAATTTCAATAAGCATTTTGCTATGGCTGGCCATGCTTTCCACCTGGCTAACCCCTACCCCGGTCACTAGCTCTGCACCCTCCGCTGCAACTTGCCCATGCCCCCCCCCCGCGCTTCTCCTTCACCCAAATTCAGATAGCTGATGTCCTGAAAGAGCTGCTAAATCTGGACCCCTACAAATCAGCTGGGCTAGACAATCTGGACCCTTTCTTTCTAAAATTAGCTGCCGAAATTGTCGCAACCCCTATTACTAGCCTGTTCAACCTCTCTTTCGTATCGTCTGAGATCCCCAGAGATTGGAAAGCTGCCGCGGTCATCCCCCTCTTCAAAGGGGGTGACACTCTAGATCCAAACTGTTACAGACCTATATCCATCCTGCCCTGCCTTTCGAAAGTATTTGAAAGCCAAGTTAACAAACAGATCACCGACCATTTCCAATCCCACCGTACCTTCTCCGCTATGCAATCTGGTTTCCGAGCTGGTTATGGGTGCACCTCAGCCACGCTCAAGGTCCTAAACGATATAAGAACCACGATCGATTAAAGACAGTACTGTGCAGCCGTCTTCATCGACCTGGCCAAGGCTTTTGACGATGTCAATCATCGCATTCTTATTGGCAGACTAAATAGCCTTGGTTTCTCAAATGACTGCCTCGCCTGGTTCACCAACTACTTCTCAGATAGAGTTCATTGTGTCAAATTGGAGGGCCTGTTGTCTGGACCTCTGGCAGTCTCTATGGGGGTGCCACAGGGTTCAATTCTCGGGCCGACTCTATTCTCTGTGTATATCAATGATGTCGCGCTTGCTGCTGGTGATGCTCAGATTCACCTCTACGCAGACAACACCATTTTGTATACATCTGGCCCTTCATTGGACACTGTGTTAACAAACCTCCAAACAAGCTTCAATGCCATACAACACTCCTTCCGTGGCTTCCAACTGCTCTTAAACGCTAGTAAAACTAAATGCATGCTCTTCAATCGAACGCTGCTTGCACCCGCCCGCCCAACTAGAATCACTACTCTCGGCGGGTCTGACTTAGAATATGTGGACATCTACAAATACCTAGGTGTCTGGTTAGACTGTAAACTCTCCTTCCAGACTCACATTAAGCATCTCCAATCCAAAGTTAAATCTAGAATCAGCTTCCTATTTCACAACAAAGCCTCCTTCACTCATGCTGCTAAACATGCCCTCGTAAAACTGACTATCCTACCGATCCTTGACTTCGGCGATGTCATTTACAAAACAGCCTCCAACACTCTACTCAGCAAATTGGATGTAGTCTATCACAGTGCCATCCGTTTTGTCACCAAAGCCCCATATGTGACCTGTACGCTCTCGTTGGCTGGCCCTCACTACTTATTCGTCGCCAAACCCACTGGCTCCAGGTCATCTATAAATCACTTCTAGGCAAATCCCCGCCTTATCTTAGATCATTGGTCACCATAGCAACACCCACCCGTAGTATGCGTTCCAGCAGGTATATCTCACTGGTCATCCCCAAAGCCAACACCTCCTTTGGCCGCCTTTCCTTCCAGTTCTCTATTGCAAATGACTGGAACGAACTGCAAAAATCTCTGAAGCTGGAGACACTTGCTCCCTCACTAACTTTAAGCATCAGTTGTCAGAGCAGCTTACCGATCACTGCACCTGTACACAGCCCATCTGTAATTAGCCCACCCAACTACCTCATCCCCATATTGTTATTTATTTTGCTCATTTGCACCCCAGTATCTCTATTTGCACATCATCTTCTGCACATCTATCACTCTAGTGTTAATACTAAATTGTTATTATTTTGCACTATGGCCTATTTATTGCCTTACCTCCATAACTTACTACATTTGCACACACTGTATATAGATTTTCTATTGTGTTATTGACTGTACGTTTTGTTTATTCCATATGTAACTCTGTGTTGTTGTTGTTTTTATCGCACTGCTTTGCTTTATCTTGGCCAGGTCGCAGTTGTAAATGAGAACTTGTTCTCAACTGGCTTACCTGGTTAAATAAAGGTGAAATAAAAAGAAATAAAAAATATGCTCATCCACAGCCCATGGTAGAGAAAGATTGTTCACTTTGTTTCTAATTAACCCTTCAAGTCCTACTCCAGTCTCCTCTTCAGCTCATTTAACACATGAACATCTCAATAGGTGATCCAGGTATCCTCATGACACGGCACAAGCTCCTCTATTGTTCCTCAAGCAAAGGGGGTGGCCGATGACATCAGAAGGCACCATCAGACCAACTCCTTGAATGTCCTACTCCTAGAAGTTTGCATATATTTTTTAACCCTTTAGTGTGTGTTCTTTACTGTATTTATACTCAGAATATCACTTTTCAACAGGAAAAGTTTTTGTTTTTTTTATCGCTGGAGGACATTTTTAATAACCCAAAATACCACAATGCTCAGTTAATGAATTCTATGACCATTAACAACACAGCAATGACCTCCTTTGCCAAGCCACAAACTACTTCTGCGTAACCAACAAATGGCAAAGGCATTCACATAACGGATACAAAATGAGTTTAATAATTGGGTAATATAGAAAAGATTTGTACAAAAAATGTATCTCGCTTGGGCGTGCTGTTCAAGGACATGATCAATAGGGTTGTAATTATCAACATTCATGGGCTTATATTCCAGTCACAGATTTTATAGATGACTGTGAGGCTACCAGGGAGCCAGAGGTACAAAGGTGTTCATTTCAGAGTGTCTGGCCAAATGAGGGACACAAAGGCATTGAATAATGACCCACAGAAACCGCAGTTTGTTAAACGCTGCCTTCAAACCCCCGGAGATTCAAACCGAAATGCCAGTCTTAATAAGAAGCCACATCCATCCTCCATCCCTCCCTCCCATGCTCTCTCACTCAGTCTCCCTCCATCACTCTCTCTTTAACACACACTCTGACACACACAGAGGCACAAACACACAGACACATACAAACTCTCTCTGTCACTCCGTTCCTCCCACTCTCTCCCACTCATACACACATATTTGGACTCTCTTTGCCTCAGGGATACAGGGGATCATGACTGATTGACAGCCCACTCAACCAATCATAATTACCAGCAGCTCCAAGAACAGAGCCTGCGATCTGAACAGGGATTGGCCTGTGTGTGTGTGTGTTATAAATGACGGTGGAGCTGGCAGCAGCGGAGCAGAGTGATGGTTGATCAGCTGAGTGATCTGCTCTCTAACTACGCTGGAGAAAAGGAAGGATAGACAGAGAACAGCCCCCACCCTATCGCTCTGCTCTGCACCCAGCATCTTTAGCAAGCAAAGACACACACACTCACACACACAACCAAGAGAGCCTCTCTCTACCTCTCTCTCTCTCTACCTCTCTCTCTGACTCTCTCTCTCTCTCACACACACACACAAACACACACACACACACACACACACACACACACACACACACAGTGGAACGGTATCAGAGCTGGAGCTACCTATCTCTCCCTCCCCTCTCCTGTTTCTCTCTCTCTCTCTCTCTCTCTCTCCTCTCTGCTTCTGCCTCTATCTCTCTCTCATCTCTATCTCTCTCTATCTCTCATCTCTCTCTCTCGCTCTGCTCTCTATCTCTCTCTCTCTCTCTCTCTCTCTCTCTCTCTCTCTCTCTCTCTCTCTCACACACACACAGTGGAACGGTTTTAGAGCTGGAGCTACCCATCTCTCCCTCCCCTCTCCTGTTTCTCTCTCTCTCTCTCTGCCTCTCTCGCAACGAAAGGAGAAGAAGACGCATGTTCTTGGAAATACACATGAAAAACCTGCTGTGATCTGAGTCTCACGCTGTCATGCTGGACTGCTGCTTTAAAGCATGTGGGTCCCAGGCATGAGGGGAACACCTGCTGCTGGTCCATACAGTTTGTGAAGGGACTCACTCCCACTGGTAAGTTTCCATCTATCTCTCTCTCCTATGTGTGTATGAGTCATGTGTGGTTGGTTGGGGTGGTAGAGGGTTGGTTTTCAGTGTGACAATGCGGTAGTCCTTGAGCTGAACCTGTGTCTGTGTGGAGGGAGTTAGCAGCCGAGAAGGCAGAAGGCACAGCCTGCAGTTATGTGGGAGGCTTGGCTGAGGGGGGAATTGAGGAAAGGAAAGGCTGCGGAGTCTAACACAGGCTTTTGTCGTCGCTGCTTAAGGAAACGTTTGGATGAATATGTAGGAGCTGCAGAGGTTTTAGAGAAGGAACTGCCTGTTATTGGCACAAGGATGTATTTTGGAAGTGGGGAGAGAGATGTGTGGTTGGTGTTATCTCGGCAGCATCGCTCTACAGGTACATCTGAGAAAAATAACTAAACTGATGTATACTCGCCTCTGTGTGTCTGTCGGGGCTAGAACAGAAAAGAAGACAAGTCAGGGAATCTGCCGTCAGTAGAAAATACCAGAACTCAATGAGGTAAACCAGTAATAAGCCTGAAGTAAAGAAACCTCTTTCCGTTTTCACTGATAGATCATAACACATAAGTACTGTATAGAGTTGGACACTATTTGGCTGTGTGTGCCAAGAGGAGGAACATAGAGGTTTTCTAAGAGGATTTCTTTAGGATTTGTCCACGTCTTTAAGGAATCCAGGTGAGACAGGTCAAAATGAGGCAAGAGCTGGAGTGCTGGGCTGTGGAGAACTCTCCTCTAACCAGAGAATAATACATTCCCACCACTGCCTGCCTAATTTACCAGAACAGCACACTCTCCCCCCTCTGTCTCTCCATCTCTCTCTCACTCTCTTTCACCTCATCTCCCTCGTTCTCTCTCGCCATCGCCCATCACTCGGCTGTATTTAGGGCTTGTTCATAATTAAACAACGTCACACTGAGGCATTTTTAGTGAGCAGCAGACCTCATTCAGCACAGTCACAATGTTAGCTACTAAATGGGGTCAGAAAGATGACTGCATCATTCTGTTTTCAAGAAGTAGCCTAATCATGCATAAAATGGTCTATTTCCATGCCAAAAATGCACCAATATCATGCTGAATAGCCTGGCTAGGAACAGATTTAAATAGGCAGTTGTCCTATAGTACTCTTCTATGGCCATCCTGCATTCCCAAGGTTCTCTATGCAGACTGGTGGGGACTGGAGTGATGAATCCACAAGAGAAAGCAGTACTGGTGCTTTATACGTATAAGACAAAAAAGTGAAAGTGTACACGTTGAATCTCTGATGTCACTCTGCAGACAGCACTAAAGCAAAACACACTGACTGGCTGTACAGAAACAAAGTTGGAGAGGAATAGAACGCTACAAGACTCTGTACCTCACACTCAACACCATTCCATGCATTAATAATGGCGGTAATGTGTGCATCTCTCAATAGACACTATTTAGTCTATCAAAAAATATATATATTAAGCAGGCTAATTAATATCAATTATGTGAAATAGCATTACTATCAGAGGGTTTCAATTTGTTACTAAAATCTTGACTTGAGATTCACATGCAAACCTCAAACTCCTGTGTATACCATACCTTGTCATAGCCATAGACAGATTTAGTGTGTTTGTTGTTGTTGTTAATTTGTGAGAACTTCCTTACAATCCTTTCATCGCTCAATAAAGAGTCAAATGAAAACCACGCCACACAACCTACCTACCCTACAAAATCCCCACTATGAGAATATTAGTGTACCGTAGCACATGGATTCAAGGGCTAAACATTTGATACACTGGGAAAACACATTCCCAATAGATACAGTATGATTCTGAAGCACTGTTTTTTTCAAAGTAAATCCCATGCATTTTACAGTCAGAGCAGCAGAGCTAGTCCTACCTGGGCCTGTGGAAAAGGGAATGTTGACAGCTAACACCCCATGCATTACCAGTTAATGTATTACATTAGGGATTTATGCAATGAGCTGTGATAGTGATAGATTAATCCATAGTGAAAAATGTATGTGTGGCGAGTTCACTGTACCCTGCAAAACTCCTTGTATATGGTGTATACATACAAATAACATCGTAAATCAACAGGCAGGTCATGTTTACATGTGCACCATACCTGTGTGTGTGTGTGTGTGTCTGTGTGACAGTAGACCATATGAGAGAGGGTAGGTAGGAGGAGGAGGGGGTTGGTAGGAAGCCTGGGGTAGTTGACAGCTTAACATCGATTCCTAATTAATTGTTGAATTGCTGCTTATTTGCAGGCAGCGTTGAGCAGATGTAAGGGGGAAGCGCTTCTCTTCAGATGTCATTATGCATGGATACCACACAGTGAGTTGGCCTAATGAATGTAGCCATACAGCTAATGCTAATGACAGGCACAGTGCTAGCATAGCTAATGCAGGCTTTCATGGTGGGCTGCTCAGGCAGCCCAACATATAGCAGGCTGTGATATTGTAGCAGGTAGCGCTATAGGGAACACGAGGGAGCAGGTCACGTTGAAAGGACAATTTTAGCTTGGACAGATTTAATGGTAAATCAATAAAAAGAGGTGGGGGCACTTACCTCACTCCATTTCCCTCACCCCACCTCCCCTCCTCCGATCCCCTCACCTCCCCTCCTCCGATCCCCTCACCTCCCCTCCTCCGATCCCTTCACCTCCCCTCCTCCCACCACATCTCCTCCCCTCCCCTTCCCTCTCCCCCCTCACCTCTCCTCCCCTACCACCACTTACCTGACCTCCCCTCCCCTACCACCCACTCACCTCACCTCCCACCCCCTCACTTCACCTCCCACTCCCTCACCTCACCTCCCACCCCCTCACTTCACCTCCCACTCCCTCACCTCACCTCCCACCCCCTCACCTCACCCCCTCACCTCCCCTTCAAACTACAAGACTGATACTGAACATTAGAAAAGTCAACAACCCTGCTGATGCTTCACAAAGTGGTGGCACATTTAAGGCATTTCGAGAGAAAGTGGAGGATGTGACTGAATTGGACATCGGGCACCGATTAAAAGACTGTGTTGAGAGATGTGTTGCTCTACTGGGCAACTGTAAATGCACAAATAAAACACCACTTAGTCCCCAGCAGCTTTTAAATGGCCACTATTTCCATCCTCCATTTTGTCTGTCACACTGCCTCTTGTACATACCTGTTTTTAAGTACACATGCTTTGTTTCATCTGTCTACTCTATCCCAACCGGTGCACTCTAACCCCATTCTGTCACATTTCTTTGTGAAGTAACAATGACATTCATTCATCAACATTCTAGTTTTCACATCAACGTTAAAGTGGTGGAGTTCGCAACAGAGCTAATTTTCGTCCGTAGTCCAAAAAGCTATTACCATCCAAAGATTAATTAGGCTCAACAACATAAAGACCAGTAAGATCCTTTCAGATCTGTCACAATACCATGGTACATTAATGTGGCAGAATATCAGGGTGTCACTTTCCACTAGATCAAATCAAATTAAATCAAATCAAAATGTATTTGCCACATGCGCCGAATACAACAGGTGTAGACATTACAGTGAAATGCTTACTTACAAGCCCTTAACCAACAATGCAGTTTTTTAAAGAAAAATGTAAAATAAATAGTGTTATTTAAGAAAAATTTAAAATTAAAGCAAATAGCTAAAGACCAGCAGTAAAATAAAATAGCAGTAGGGAGGCTATATACAGGGGGGTACCGGTACAGAGTCAATGTGCGGGAGCACCGGCTAGTCGAGGTAATTGAGGTCATATGTACATGTGGGTAGAGTTAAAGTGACTATGCATGAATAGTAAACAGAGTAGCAGCAGCGTAAAAGAGGGGGATGGGTGGGGTGGGGTGGGGGGGGGGGGGGGGCAGTGCAAATAGTCTGGGTATCCATGATTAGCTGTTCAGGAGTCTTATGGCTTGGGGGTAGAAGCTGTTGAGAAGCCTTTTGGACCTACACTTGGCGCTCCGGTACCGCTTGCCGTGCGGTAGCAGAGAGAACAGTCTATGACTAGGGTGGCTTGAGTCATTGACAATTTTTAGGGCCTTCCTCTGACACCGCCTGGTATAGAGGTCCTGGATGGCAGGAAGCTTGACCCCAGTGATGTACTGGGCTGTACGCACTACCCTCTGTAGTGCCTTGCGGTCGGAGGCCGAGCAGTTGCCATACCAGGTGGTGATGCAACCAGTCAGGATGCTCTCGATGGTGCAGCTGTATAACTTTTTAAGGATCTGAGGACCCATGCCAAATCTTTTCAGTCTCCTGAGGGGGAATAGGTTTTGTCGTGCCCTCTTCACGACTGTCATGGTGTGTTTGGACCATGATAGTTCGTTGGTGATGTGGACACCAAGGAACTTGCAGCTCTCAACCTGTTCCACTACTGCCCCGTCGATGAGAATGGGGGCGTGCTCGGTCCTCTTTTTTTTCCTGTAGTCCACAATCATCTCCTTTGTCTTGATCACATTGAGGGAGAGGTTATTATCCTGGCACCACACGGCCAGGTCTCTGACCTCCTCCCTATAGGCTGTCTCATCGTTGTCGGTGATCAGGCCTACCACTGTTGTGTCGTCGGCAAACTTAATGATGGTGTTGCAGTCGTGCCTGACCATGCAGTCATGGGTGTACAGGGAGTACAGGAGGGGACTAAGCACGCACCCCTGAGGGGCCCCCCTGTTGTTACCTACCCTTACCACCTGGGGGCGGCCCGTCAGGAAGTCCAGGATCCAGTTGCAGAGGGAGGTGTTTAGTCCCAGGATCCTTAGCTTAGTGATGAGCTTTGAGGGCACTATGGTGTTGAACGCTGAGCTGTAGTCAATGAATAGCATTCTCACATAGGTGTTCCTCTTGTCCAGGTGGGAAAGGGCAGTGTGGAGTTCAAGAGATTGCATCATCTGTGGATCTGTTGCGGCGGTATGCAAATTGGAGTGCATGCTTCAGTGTTGCTTGCCTCGAAGCGAGCATAGAAGTAATTTAGCTCGTCTGGTAGGCTTGTGTCACTGGGCAGTTCGCGGCTGTGCTTCCCTTTGTAGACTGTAATAGTTTTCAAGCCCTGCCACATCCGACGAGCGTCAGAGCCGGTGTAGTACGATTCAATCTTAGTCCTGTATTGACTCTTTGCATGTTTGATGGTTCGTCTGAGGGCATAGCGGGATTTCTTATAAGCTTATAAGTTAGAGTCCCATTCCTTGAAAGCGGCAGCTCTACCCTTTAGCTCAGTGCGGATGTTGCCTGTAATCCATGGCTTCTGGTTGGGGTATGTCCGTACGGTCACTGTGGGGATGACGTCATCGATGCAGTTATTGATGAAGCCAGTGACTGATGTGGTGTACTCCTCAATGCTATCTGAAGAATCCCGGAACATATTCCAGTCTGTGCTAGCAAAACAGTCCTGTAGCTTAGCATCTGCGTCATCTGACCAGGTGCTTCCTGCTTTAGTTTTTGCTTATAAGCAGGAATCAGGAGGATAGAGTTATGGTCAGATTTGCCAAATGCAGGGCGAGGGTGAGCTTTGTATGGGTCTCTGTGTGTGGAGTAAAGGTGGTCTAGAGTTTTTTTTCCTCTGGTTGCACATTTAACATGCTGATAGAAATGAGGTAGAACGGATTTAAGTTTCCCTGCATTAAAGTCCCCGGCCACTAGGAGCGCTGCCTCTGGATGAGCGTTTTCCAGTATGGCCTTATACAGCTCATTGAGTGCAATCTTAGTGCCAGCATCGGTTTGTGGTGGTAGATAGACAGCTACAAAAAATATAGATGAAAACTCTCTTGGTAAATAGTGTGGTCTACAGCTTATCATGAGATACTCTACCTCAGGCGAGCAAAACCTCGAGACTTCCTTAGTATTAGATTTTATGCACCAGCTGTTGTTTACAAATATACACAGACCGCCACCCCTTGTCTT